TCAGGTTTGTCCCTGAGCTGTGGAGGGTATTGACGGCTGTGACAAAGGCCAACCTGCCTGTTCCCTGGTGCTTGCTGTGCCCAGGCCCTGGACTCCCACTCAGCACCTGAGTCTACGGCAACCCTCAAAAGCAGCTGTCATCACCTGTGCTTTTTATGTGGGGAAACTGAGGCAAAGGGCCGTTAAGCAATCCACTCGGAGAAACACACAAGTAGCAAGTGACGATTGGGGCTGGAGGCCGAGTGTGCCGGCCCCAAAGCCAGTGCGCCTTCTACGGCACCAGAGTGCCCTCTCACGCTTGGAAAGTTTCAGCCAAGGGAAGGCTACCTGAGGGTGAATCACCGGGGCCATGCAATGACCCCAGGCAGGAGGCCCATAGGAGGTGGAGACCTGGAGCCAGATAGAGCCGGGTTTGGGTCTGATCCTTCCTCCTGGCTCCATGCTGGCAGGTCCTGCACCTGGCAAATGGGAATAACGCACCATGCCCAGGCGAGAAGGTGGGCTACATGAGACCTCCAGCAAGAAGCTCCATTGTAATGGCCCCAAAGGGGTCATGCTGTATCCAGACTGGCACTCAGCCACACATTATGAGGCAGCAACACATCCCCCATGGCGGCTGGCTAACACATACAGGCAGGGCCTGCCCAGCGGGGGACATGCATGTCTATGGCTGAGTCGGACACACTGGGGTTCGAATCCCAGCTCTGCTATTTACAACTCACATGACACCAGGTCTGGATGGGACTCGCAGGCATTTCCTCCTCCGTAGGTGGAGATACCACGGGCCACTCTGAGCAGTGCTGTGACGACCCCGGGAGGAAACCTACACGAGCATCTGGCCCAGGGCCCCGGTGTGGCACTTGATGAGCTGAGGTCTCTGCGACATTTAAGCCTGTCCCACCTGGGTGCTGCCCGACACCCTAGACACCCTGAGCAGCCCTGGAGATGGAAAAATTCCTGGAGTAAACTAAGACTGCTTGACTCAGGTTGCTCTGCGCTGGGTGCGAGCCTCAGAGATCTGCTCTTTTGAGGCTTCCCCGGGACTGGGGCAGCCGCATCATGCGGGGATGATTGCAGGAGCCATGCGATCAGCTGCAAGCACTAGGGGCTACCCCAGGACACGGCCCATGTTTTCCTATCGCAACTACTTTAACAATCTGTGTGAGCCTCTACCACGTGCCAGGCAGAGGCTGATCAGCTCACGGCACCCTCAGTCCCTACCAAGACCCTGGGGAGAGGCAGCAACGGAAGGAAGGATATGGAGGTCTGGTCTTTGATCATGCTAGCAAGTGGCAGGGCTGGGTGTGAGCCCAAGACCCCACGTCAGGGAAGGTCTCACGGAGCCCTACTCAGGCAGAGGCACAGCCAAGGGGTGCAGCAAGGAAGTCCCCTGAGTGTCTTTGCAGGAAAGGGGCCATGGAATCCAGGCTCTGGGATTGGTTGATGGCATCGGGCCAGCAGCCTGGTCCGGCCTCAAGGACAGGCAGTGCCCGCCTAAAGGGCCAGCGACAAGACAGGCCCCTTCATCTCCCAGTCTTGACAATTTCCTCTCGTGAGCTCAGCGGTCTCCCATGGCCCAGACGATGCTCCGGAAGCCCAGGGTGCGGAGCAGGCAGCTTTTCCATGAGTCAGAGACACACACCTTTTTCTGGGACAGTGCGATTGGACTTTCCAAGCGTTCATCAAACTCAATACTTGATTCTAGAAAATATCCTATCTACCCCTAAACTATCTCATCGACAGAAACCATAGAAAGTAAGGGTCTTGGGTGGCCAGGTTAGGAAGGAACCCTGCGCCTCACAGAAGAATAGGGCAGAGCTTGGGGGTGACCAGGCTAAGCACAGACTGCCAGGGCCTGCGCAACGGTGGTCCTCTCCAGATACAAACTCAGATGAATTTCTGGGTCAGGAGGGTCTGGCTTCTGCTGTGCCTCATCCCGAGTGGAGTGAGGCAGGGAAAATGGACAGCGGGGCAGCTGCCGGCACTAAGCTCCCTCAGTGCTGGGAGCTTTGGTGGCTTCTAGCTTTTTGTTGTTACTAGTAAGGCTGAGGTGTGGACGTTTCTGTGGCTACGTCATTGCCCATTCTTGGCTTAGGAGAAGAAATGTGTCTCTGTTCCAAATACTAGGACCTGTGCCGACCACAGTCTGAGGACTAGGACTCAGGTTCCGCTCTGCCACAGTCTCTCCTTGCTCCTGGACAGCTGCTTTTCCTTCCCTGAGCCTCGGTTTGCCCTCTGTGCGGGTGGGTGGGTTTGGGCTGGAACACTCCTCACAGCCCTTCCAGCTCCATTTAAGCCACCTGGTCTTTAGCGCTTTGCTAGGGAGCAAATTAATACAACCCCTCAGGAGCCTCTGTCCACCCAGGGGAATTCAATCTGCCAGCCCAGCAGCTGCCCGGTAGGACATCTAGGCTCAGAGGGAGCACAGGCCTTGCTCAAGGATCTGGTGCCCACTGGTGGCAGACCTGGCACTGGAATCCATTCCCACCCCACCCCCGGCCCCAGCTCAGGCACCTTTCTCAAGCCCTCCCCCAGCTGCCCCCTTGTGACCACGTGGACTACAGTAAGATGACGCTACATCACACCCGTCATCACCTGCTGGGCTCACCATGTGTGGGCTGGCACTGCACTCAGAGCTAAAGGCCTGCCCTCCATACTACTGGGGAAACTGAGGCAGGGGAGCCCCACAGTCAGAGCATTGGATTCGGATCCAGGTCTCTCTGGTACGGGATGTCATCTCCCACAACCTTGCCATGTGCTATATAAACAATCACCCCGACCACCTGAAATCAACAGGCAGCAGAAGTAAGGCAACTGTATGGCTTCGATCCATACCCGAGTCATCTTGCAGGCACCCTGTGTCAGGACACTGAAGACCTGCACACAGCCCAGAGGAACGGGGAGCCGGCAGCTCAGGAGGGCTGGACAGGTTGCCCTGGGCTCTGATCCTCTGGTCCATCTGGGCAGCTGGAGACCAGACCAGATGATGCTCAGCCACTCCTCCCAGTGCTGAGCTCTGCAGTAATGCCAGCCGGCCTGGGGAGCGCCACGGGGGACCTGCCCTTGTTGCCCTTGTTGACGATGGAAGCTCCTATCCTGCCAGACACACAGCGGCTGGACGTTAGAGCCCACATGCCAGGAACAAGGGCCCAAGCTGTTTGCTGTCCCCTACTGTGTGGGTGGAAATGCCTGCCATGTGCATCATCGGCTGGGGACAGGGCTGGGCAGGGGCGACAGGTGGCCGGGCGCACGCACACACAGCCAGTTCCAAAGAGCTGGACTGACTCAGAGCAGCTGAGCTGAGTTGGCCATCTAGCAATGACCATCTCAAACTACCGAGGGCCTCCCATGTGTGGGGTTCTTCACGTTACACCTTGTCCCCTTCCAGGCAGCCAATGCTACTGCTCTTACAGGTCAGAAAGCTAAGCTCCAGAAGGCGCCACCTATGCCTAAGACCACCAGACAGGCACCACGGTTCAAACCCCAGTCTCTGCCCCCAACTGCCCCAGTGCCCACACACCTCTTCTCTGGGGACAGCAGCCACAGATGCAGAGGAGAGATGTCGGCGCTGCTTCCGAGGCTCTCCCTGATGACAGGGGGACCACAGGTATCAATTATGGCCACAGGAGGCATAAAATTACTCTGCGTGCACCCAGCCATTATCCCCACCTGCCATTAGATAAATGTGTCTGGAGGTTCTGCCAAGTCTCAGGGTGCCCCAGCCACCCCCAGATAACTAGGTTGGCCATTTCAGAAATCCTCCTCCAAAGGGTCTGCCTCCGACCTCCCCAACCACCTGCCATTGCTCTCAGCTACTCCCAAAGGCTCCCTGCGACGCAGTGCCTCCTGCCTTGGATGGGAGGGGGAGGCAGACTGTCTCCCAGGGGAGGGGAGTCCCTGGCCCCTCAGCTCCCGCCCCCTTCTAGGCCTACAGTGCACAGGAAGCTTTCACTAAATGCACATTCTCCCCCCAGTCTGATCTCCCTAGGGGAAGCGCTGTCCCCACTGGTTTCTGCACCATGGCCAAGGGCCATACTGCAGTCCCTGGCGAGACAGGCTTAGAGGAAAGAGCACAAGAGTCCGTGAGGCCCAGGTTCGAATCCCTGCCCCCCTTCCTGAGCCAAGCAAGTGACTCAAGCCTGGTGCGCCTCGGGTCACACCCTGAAAAATGGGGTGACAGATCTTCCCTGCCGGGAATGCAAAGACAAGCCCTCAGCCTGGTGTGGGCCCCAGGAGGCTCTCAGATCTAGGCATCCTCAGGCCGCCGCCAGGGCTCACCGCCAAGAGCTCCAGTTCCAGGTCTCAGTTTCCCCAACAGCACAAGGCGCGGCTGCGCTGCAGCGCTGTGGGATTTTTCCAGGCCGCACAGAGGCGGTCAGATCCCGGAGGGTGGGTGCGGCGGGAAAGGCAGGGATGCGATGCGCAGGGGCGAAGGGCTGGAGACACGCAGAGATCGGGTCGGAGCCGGGTCTGACACACGCGGGCTCCGGGTCCCCAGATCTGCCGCGGAGAGTCCCGGGCGCCGAGGGTCGGCCTGACGCCCCTAACCCAGGCGCTGCCGGAGCCACGCAAGGGCGGCGCCCCCCGCTGCAAAGCCCCGCCTGTCATTTCACCTCTGCGTGCCTAGGTCTGCTGGGGCCCCGGACCTTCGCCCCGATCCCAGGCCCCCGCCCGGATCCCCGCCAGGCCGCCTTCTGCAGCCTGGAGCAACCTGGACACCCGTGAGAAGCAAAGGAGGGGCGCTTTCCAGACAGCCCGGCGCAGCCACGCCGGCCGGCGCGCTGGGAAAGGACCCCGGCCCGAGCCACTGAGCTACGCGCTCCGGGCGCAGGGCAGGGGGCTGCGCTGTGGCCCCTCGGGACTGCAAAATCCTGGAGCAAAAGTTGGGTGGAGCCGCTGGGTGATTTTCCCCGGCGTTGCAGGTGCAGCCTCCGAACGCCACCCAGCCCTGGCGGCGCCGCGATCCAGCGGCCAGCACTCACCCAGCCCCCAGCACTCACCTGCACTCATCTCAGCAGCAGCTCGGAGTCGGGGCGGCCCGGCGCTGCGGCAGGGAGCCCGACACTCCGGCCCGCAGGTGCCGCGCCCGCGCTCTCCTCCGCCCGCCCGCCGGCTCCGCGCCCGCTCCTAGCTCACCCTCCGGGCAGCGCCGCCGCAGCCCCACCGCGCGCAGGCCACGCCCACGCCACGCCCACGCCACGCCCCTCCTGGCGGCCCCGCCCCGCTCCAGCTCCCGGCCAGGAGCACCCTGGGAAGTGTAGGCGCCTCGCTCCCGCCCCTCCGCCTCTCGCCCCAGCTGCCGGATGAACGGACTACACGTCCCCGCACGCTCCGCGGCCAGCGCAGGCGCAGACCGGCGACGGCGGCTGAGGCCTTTCGCAATCGCTCTTGGATCTCTGCAGAGCGGTAGCCACGGCCTGCGGGGCGACGTGGGGGCCGCCGCTGTTGGAAGCCCGGGAGTCGCTAGGAGAGCGGCGCAGGGAAAAGTGGGCTGAGTGCAGCTCTTCTTGAGTCGTGGAGCTACAAAGCGGCTGAAGAGCTTCTGAGCCAGCCCTTCTTCTTTCCCGGTTTACAGAGAGGGAAACTGAGGCGGGGGCGAGGCGCGGGCAGGATGAGCCCGCATCCCTCAGCGAGGCGTGCACCGGCGGGGATTCGTGCGCAGGTTTTCTGCCTCCGTGGCTGGGCTGTCCGCGCCTCGCCCCCCGCCCCATGCTCCCGTCGCTCCTCGCCGGCTGGCGCCCTGCTGGGGGGCGCACCGGGGGAGGTGGCGCGGCCCACCACCGCGCAGCCCCCGGCCCGAGTCCCCACGGTGACCCGCTCCCCTGTGACGTCAGGCGCCCAGCACAGGGCGTGGACACGGGTGCAGGAGAGGGAGTCGGGGAACGGGGAGAAGCAGGATTCCCCACTGTGTGCCTGGTGCGACAAAAGGCGGGCTGCGGAGAGGTCGGGAGGAGCCATCCGGCACTAGGCTGGCCACTGGGGGCCTGACCTGGAGGAGCATTTAGGATGCAGAATCGCGGGAACCTGGCATGGAGAGAGAGGCCAAGGACCTTTGGCTCGGGCCAGGGCTGTTTGGAGATGTTTCAACAAGGGGAAGAAGGTTGGGCACAGAAAATGTAGACTCAATGGAACACTGAGGCAGGAGCAGGTACTCCTCCCCTCCCCCACCCCAGCAGCAGCCAGCTCCTCCCAAGACGGGCCAGGACGGGAGCCCAGGAGTACAGTGGCTCAGGGGAGAGCTGAAGTCCTGGGGAACCACCCCAGCCCCACACACCCTAGAAATCCAGGGGGCCCAGCTAGGTGCTTCTGCCCACAGCTGCCGGGCTCCCGTGCCAGGCCCTGGGATCTTTGTCTGAAACACAAGTGCCATGCAATTGAGGGGGCGCAGAAGGGGTGAGGCATCCTGTTCTCAACCCAAGTCCCCTCTCAGTGATGCGACTGAAGCAAGTCCCTTCCCTTGTGGGCATTAGGGCCCCATCTGTGAAGGATCCATCGTTGGCTGGGAGCATTCTGTTCAGGCAAGGGTAGTAGGGATGGCGGTCCCTGGGTCTGCCTGCCCGTTGGGACCTGCTCTTTCCACCTGCTGCGGCCAGGCTGTTAATTCGCTGTGCCTTGAGATCCGTCATTAGATCTCAGAGCAGTCCCCATCTTTAAGGATGGCTCTGAGGATCAGTGAGTTAATGTGTGCCTTGCCCCAGCGTGGGTTGAGATCTTTGAGTTAAATGTCTTTGATTTGCTATTATTATTCTCAGTGCCTAACATAGGGCCTGGCACAGAGCAGGCCCTCTACAAATATCTGTTGAATAAACAGAGAGGATGGAGGAGAGGGGAGAGCCCTGGCACCTGGCGCCCCTGGGTCATGGCCTGAGAGGTAGGCCAGGCAACCACCTGCCGTAGGGACACCCTGCTGCCACTTGGTCTCTAAGGAGCTCTCGGTCCAGCTCCCCTGTAGCCTCTGTTTCCTTCCCAATAGAGACACCGTGCCCCTGGGTTTCTGAAGGCTCCTGAGAGCCTCCTAGGGGTGCTATGATTTCCACCACACAGCCTGGTGCGGACGGCAGGGGGACCTCACACCTCTGCACCAAATCCCTGTGAGCCAGAGGGTGGATGTGGATGCCCCGTTCCGGGCTGGTTCCAGAGCCCAGGACAAGGGGCTGGGGAGTCTTAACAGTTCTCAACCTGGAAGGGCCTCCAGGGGTCATGTGGTTCCAACATATTCTTTCGTAAGAGCAGAAACCAAGGCCCAAAGACGTCCTGCCCCAAGTCACCCAGCAAGTCAGTGACAGGTGGGGCTTGAGCCAGGTCTTTTCTTTCGTTCCTGCTCCGTGCCTGCTGAACTGGTACTTCAAGGAATCTGCTGGTTGATCTGAATCAACTGAAACAGACTTTGGTTCTCTGTCCGGTACTACGGGCCAGGTGTGACCCCAGGCAGTTCTGTGTGCCTGAGTTTCTGTGACCTTTGTTTCACAGTGCACGCCCCTTAGGATTCTCGAACACCTTTAATGTGCTAGACTCCCTAGTTCTAGTGAAGAAAATAGACAAATCGTTTCACAAGTCATAAGATTCATTCTATAAAAATGCTGTCCCCCTCTTTTTTTTAGCAGGCTTGGTGGGGTGTCAAGGAATCTTCAAGGAGCTTATGGACACAGGGAGGCCCCAAATGTGTCAAACCAAGGTCCCTAAAGGTTCATTAAATGGGGACCAGGTGCAGTGGCTCCTGCCTGTAATCCCAGCACTTTGGGAGGCCAAGGTGGGAGGATTGCTTGCGCTCAGGAGTTTGAGACCAGGCTGGGCAACTTGGCAAAACCCCATCTCTATATGAAAATTAGCCTGGTATGGTGCTGTGTGCCTGTGGTCCAGCTCCTCTGGAGGCTGAACTGGGAGGATTGCTTGAATGTTGGAGGCAGAGATTGCAATGAGCCGTGATTGGACCACCGCGCTGCAGCCTGGGTGACACCCTGTCTCAGAAGGAAAAAAAAAAAGTTCATTAAATGTGCATTTAGAGGTGAGCGCCTTGGTGGGCACCGATGTGGAAGCAGGAACTGCTGCCCTGCTTCTCCTTCCTCAGCTGACATGCCCTGTAATGCCCCATGCCCCATGCAGCAGGCAGGGGCTAGAGACCTGAACTCTGGGGGGCTCCCTTCTACCTCCACTGCTTATTCAGAGTCCCCTGGGGGCTCCCATCGCATTTCACTGGGGATCCCATCAAGCCCCACTTAGGCGGGTGCCCCAGGCAGTGGCCTTGAAGGCCTCGGCTCCACCTGCCCAGCTCCACGCCCAGGCTTGCAGCCGAGCCTGTGGCTGCATCACGCCTGCCTGAGGATCTGCCTGCTTCCCTGGGCTGTGGACTTCCCTGGGCTGTGGGCTTCCCTGGGCCGTGGACTTCCCTGCTCTGCAGACGGTCTTAGAGAGGGGCAACTTGGCCCAGGCTTCCGTTCGGAGAAGTGCTGGGGGGAAAGCTAGAGTTTTCCAAGGCACCAGCGTAAGGAGTGGGGTTTCCTTCACCCCTCCTGGTGCCCCTGGTTGGAGGCTTCTGGATGCACCCCTGGCCTGGCCTCCCTGGGACGCGAGTTCAGGCACTCTGCCTTCTTTTGGGATAAGGAGACACTTAGAGGTGATGCATTCATCTTTCCCCTGCTCTATGATGGGGTGCTCTGGGCTCTGGGGAGGACAGCAGGGTTATGGGGGCCCACCTAGGGGCAGGCCCAGGGCCAGCAGGAACGTGACAGGCCCACAGGTCAGAAGACAATGGCTGGAACCCCCAGTAGGACCCTAAGGAAACGAGGGTACCACCTCCTTCTGAGTGTCCTAATCACTATTATGGGATGTGGCTTGTTCTGGCGATGGAGGGAGCAGAATGCAAAGAGGGCAGCTCCAGGTCCTTGACCCACTGCACCCCGGGTCAAGCCACCCGAAGCCAAACGCTGCTTCCCTGGGGCGCCAGGTTTACATGTGCGGTCTCGGCCCTGGTGATAGAGGCGGCCATAAAAAAACAAAAAGGTGGCCAGGCATGGTGACTCACGCCTGTAATCCCAGCACTTTGGGAGGCTGAGTCGGGCAGATCACGATGTCTTGAGTTTAAGACCAGCCTGGCCAACATGGAGAAACCCCGTCTCCTGAGGACAGACATCAGTAGAGACGTCTGTAATTCCTGCTACTGGGGAGGCTGAGGCAGGAGAACCGCTTGAACCTGAGAAGCTGAGGTTACAGTGAGCTTAGATGGTGCCACTGCACTCCAGCCTGGGTGACAGAGCAAGACTCCATAAAAAGGCAATTCAACTCAAATACGCACTTTCACAAATGTATATTGAAGACATAAAGCCAGGCACTCGGGTGAAGAGCTCCACCATGGTGATCTGGGGAATGCTTTTCCTACATGGCTGAGCTGGGTGAGGCTTCCTAAAAGTGAGTCCTGTGCCCACAGGTAAAGACTTATTCTCTTCGTGACAAATGCCCCCACCACAAACACAGGGACCTATCCCTGCTCTATGACCTTTAATTTGCTTCAAAAATTGGGGTCATTTCTCCTGAAAAAGCTATTGCCCTTTCAGAGGGTGTGAAGGTCTCAGGAAGTGTAGAAGGACACATGCTGGGTAGGGTTGGGGGCTGGGCAGACCCCGCAGTGCCGGCCTCATGTGGACTGGGGCAGGTGGGGCTGTGGGTTTCTTGAGGCTGAGCCAGGAGGGGCCGAGAGGGAGAGGGGCCAGCACCCCATGGGCTGGCGGCTGCTTTAGGGGGAAGGAGAACGTCGATGGAGGGGTCCTGTCTAAGCCCCAGTGGGAGCCACTCTGGGCTGGCTCAGAGGTGGAGGGACGTGTGACGCTGTACCCAGAACTCCTGGGGCCAGGCCAGGCGAAGCAGACAGTGGCTGCCAGGGCTGCTGCGTCCTGACGGCTCTGTGCCAAGGCTCAGAAGACCCTGTCATTATCATCATATCATCATCCCAATGTCACAGATGAGAAAACTGAGGCGTTTGCTTACCCAATTGCAAACTAGGGGCAAGTGGAGCCAGCAGGACGCACACCTGGGCCCTGCTGAGGAGTCCCTGGACTTCAGCCCCTGGCGGTCCGGAATCTGTCATCCCCTCCAGGGGGCATTCAAGAGGTCAAGGGATGAAGCTGGGAGTCGTGGGGTCCAGTGTGAGGTGCATGGCCAGGGTACTTGCCCAGCTGGGCCCAAGCCATGCCAA